GGTGTGTTCGCTGTGTGCAAAGGCTGGGCTGGCGACCTGGTGGGAGTATGCCGGACGCTGCTGACGCAGGGGTTCCCTTGCCGGGGATGGGAGCCGGAGTCCCACAGCGGTTGTTCCGCGCATCTGCGGAATGGCGGATTTCGCGCGATGGCCCAGTTTGCGCAGCGTAGGCGCCGTCTTTGGAAAAATGGGTGCCCTCCCGCCTTCGCGCCGCGGCAGAGGTTGGTCCCCAGGGCTCGGTCTTGTGTCTATTTATTGTCCTTGGGGTCCAGAACTGTGGACCAGTAGCTGCAGAGTTTTGCAGCCCTCCGATGCTTTTGTGCTCTGGAGCGAGGTGCAAACACGTTTCTTCGCTTTGTCGCGTTGCTCACCATGCGTAACAACACAGCTTCATAAGCCCGGCTTTGGCCAGCGAGTTGCAAGAGAGATACTTGGAGCTGATCAAAACAATGTGGTCAACCAACGGTGGCGGTTGCAGGTTTGACCGTCGTCTTGCGTGGCGCACACTTCCTGTGTTACTGCGTCTTCTGTGAAACTTCACCACAGCGCACGGCCACGGCCGAGTCCCCACGTGGCGGTAGGGAACAAGCGGAGGCCGAGGGGCGACTGGCGGATGATCTGCGGCGAAAATTGCTGCCCCCGGATGCGGGTCGCGTTGAAAAGCTGTCACGGATTTGAGATGGATACGCACCAAGGGCGGCGCGGACTTCCCACGGGACACTAAGGCCTGATTGGGAAAGGGGGGCAACATCGAGCTGGTGAGAGGCCGTACGAAAGAAGGGAAGTGCACGTGGACGGTGCAGTTGGATGGGGAGAGGAAGGTGTTCAGGGCAGACTCGCCTGAGCGCGCTGCTGCATGCGTGGCCACTCTAAGATCTAGATGGCGTTTGTGTCCATGGGTTGAACTGCTGCGTCGCCAGAGGACCAAACGCTAGATTCGGCTTCACGGCTTGCAGGAACGCGACCATGCAAGCTGGTCTCTGTGCATGGACCATTTGGAAGTGCGCGTGATGGACAACGCAGCCAAAGCTCACAGGGGGGGCATTGGGTAGATTGACGGTCGCAGGGCCGGCTTTTTCGGTGCTGGGCTTCGCCTTTGTGATGGCAGGCAAAGTTAAGGCTGACGTTCTTGGTGTGGACCTGGCACAATCTGGGCTTGAGCGTGTCGCACGACGCACCATTGAAACATTGCAGGGAGGTGTGTAATGGCAGCTCGAGGGTCGCGTTGAGGAGCTCTCGGGGGTGATGGATGTGATCAAAGAGGGCGTCGGACAGCTCGAGGGGTTTGATTTTCAGTCAAATGTGCAGATGATGGTGCATGGAATATTCAAGGGCAAGCCAGCACCAGCAGCAGTTTCAAAATTGTTGTCACAGTGCGAGTTCCGACTGCCATCCTGTGAAGTCCATGGCGTGAGGGAGGTAGTGCATGATGTGAAGGAGGTGGTTCACAGCACAGACAGGAATTTGGATAAAAATCCAAAGCAAGTTGCAATGGCAGGTAATGGGCAACAACAAGGGCACATTGCATTTTGAGCACTTTACAGATCTGGCCCAACATAACTGTCCACTCATTTGCAAAAGAGTGTCAGTGTGCCTTTTTTGAGACATGATCACCCCAAATGCGTTTAGGGTTCCGCAGCAGTGATCTGGTCCTTGTTGATATCATTTGGATTCCTTTGAATGTGCAGTGTTGTGCTTTCAACAGCTTGGCGGCGATTCATATGATATGTTTTCTGAGGGACTACGGCAGTTGCACCGCGCAACTTGCACGAATGTGCCACAGGACTGGTTGCATTATCTCACAAAAGCCTTAGTGGGCAATTATGCGGCCATTTTGCTGACATTGATGAACAGCAGCCTGTGTGTGTTCGCACAGTACTTGATGCAGAAATATAGAATCTGGGAATATATATGACTCCCATGAAAGGAGCTGACGAGGGCATCTCAACATGAGAAGTGGCCAGCCGACGCCGTTGATGTTGCGATGACTGGTTTTGTTGCCCACGTTCAAGACGTGTGGCATAGCAACACTGCAAGAATGGTCTCTGGCCCCATCACCAACAAAGATTGTGGCGATTCATTCAAGGCACGACTTTCTTCTCTTTGGTATGCCGATACCAAACGCCAAGCATGCTAGTGCATAGTGCAAGTGTATCCTGTTATTGTACTCAATGTATTCAGGTCAGATTGTCAGTTCCACTAGTTATGCAAATGTTTGTGCCAGCTGACACCTGACCCGCCAGGTGACAAGGAGTGCCAAGGCTGGGAGCGGTTGATTTGCGGTCAATGATGAATTGGTTTCACAATTGACACATTAAGACACTGATTGACGCGTTGTTTTGTTGCGGTCAGTTGAGTCAGCAATGCAAGAGGAGGGCAGCGCAAGTGATGCAGCATCTTGCATGCCTGTTCGTCCAAATGCCATCGGTCTTGAGTCAAATGCATCAGTGATCAAAATCTGATTCTCAGCGACAATACCAAGGATGTTGCCCTGGTTGGGATGGGAGGAATGGGCAAGACCACGCCAGCCAGCAAGGTGTGCGGTAAATGTCCTGGATGCGCCACACAGATTCCACAAAAATGAACAAATCACATGTCTTGTCTTGGTGTTTGTGGTAGTTTTGCAGAACCCAGATCTCTTAGACTGTCAAAAGCGAATTTGGAAGGCCCTCTTGGGAGAAAAAGTGGATTTTTCCAATGTCGCTTGCAAGCTGCGTTGCAAGCCAAACCATTTTGTCTTGTTTTGGATGACACCTAGGATATCCCCTTCATCGATGAAGCCGACAAGGTCCATCTCGATGTTGCGTCGCCAAATACCCGGGTGATCATAACTTCACGAAATGACAAGGTTGCACACATTGTGGGAGCCGAATGCCATGATGTGACACCTTTGGATGCGGTACATCGTACGATTGTTTCAGCATTGCAAGACTGCCCTTCACCAAGTCGTGCGCATTGAAGTCCAGCAAGGCGTTCAGTACGCTTCTGGAGGGCAGGGTTGTTGCACGCACTTATTTGCGTGCGCAGTATGCAGATTTACGCGTGCATATGGCTGTTCCATATCTGCGCGTATGCTTATGTATTTTAAGCCATGTGAAGGTATTTCTTGACCCGCATATTCACGGGCTTCTACAATGAATGCAGAAATACGCCTGCGTGGGTTGCTGTATTTATAGCGCTGTAGACGTATTTGACAAGCTGCCGGGTGGGAGGAGCACGACACACCAGTGGACGGCATTTCCAACTGACCAGCTTCCCCCCTCCGACGGGGCTGGTCCAAGGCGCAATTGTATGACTAACCTTGTTGGGAAGACTAAAGACAAGGAAAGAATGGCCCTACCTCTTGCCACGTCGCAGGTTGGGACCAGGCGTCGGCGGTACTTGTGGTAGGCGAGCTCGCGTTTCCTCGAGGAAATGGGGTCGTCGTTTGTTCGACGCTCATGATGCGACTTTGATTGGTTGGAGCCCATAGGAAAGCGACCCGCGCATGCAAGCATGCATGCATGTTTGCAAACCGGCGGGACCCCTTTTCAGAATTCGAGAATCCTCAATGTCGCGAGTTGCTGATATTCCAAAGGATGTGTGAGGGTATTTGCAGTGTATGTATACACATGTATACGACATATATGTTTGGCTCTGTCTGGTGCTCAGTTGAGCAGTAAGTGCCATGAATAGCCAGGATAAAATACATGCATGTGCGACAATGAGCTATGGAAATTTCAATGCGTGGACAGCCTTCGATTCTCGGGTTCATGATGGCGGCGTAGTTTTGCCATTGGGAATTTCTCACCCAAGCCGTATATTTGATGCAAGCAAAGGACGCATGTCCACATGCAGGTATCGATGCTTCCACTCCCACTTGTATATTGGATTGGGGTTTTGCAGCTTTCGCAGCGTTCCCGATACGGACCATTGGCACGAGGACGGGCCACAATGGTGCAGCTGGGCGTTGGGGCTGAGGGTTCCCTATGTTACTTTCCTTATTTCAACCGCGAATACGGAGACGCTGACGGATACAGAGACAGAAAGTCTTTGAGTGGTTGATCTTTTGAACACCCTCCCTCGCTGCCTCTGCCTAATTTCAGCCAGGTGTCAGCGCCAAAAGAAGGCAAGCCGCCGGCATGCGTCATGCGCTTCGTCTCGAAGCGACCCTGCCTTCCGACACGAGGACCCGCGGCCCCGGTTGGGCGGGGCGCAAGGGCCGCAGGGCCCGTGCGCGGCTAGTCGACGGGACTCAGAAACTTGCGACGCGTTTGCCAGACGGGCGCTGTGCGCCTTCTGTTCAGCGGATCCGGCTGGTGGAAGGAGGGTAAGCGGAGGGGCGCTGACCTGGGGTTCAACGATCTTGGATTGGTGGTTGACCTGTCGAGATTGGCGGTTGTGGGTGTGCGAGAGCAGCGAGGGGTGTTGTTATCGATGGCATGGCTCGTGTGCTGTGGGCAAGAGGCGATGGGTGGGGTGGTGTGTCGCCTGTGTGGAATGGCTGGGCTGACCTTGTGGGAGTATTCCGGATGCTGCTGACGCAGAGGTTCCCTTGCCGGGGTTGGGAGGTCAGAGTCCCCCTGTGGTTGTTGCGCGCATCTGTGGATTGGCGCATCTCTCGTTATGGTCCGGGTTGCGCGGCGTTGGCGCCATCTTTGGAAAATGGGTGCGCTCCCGGCGTGCTCCGCGGCGCGGTTAGTTGCCCAGATTCCGGTCTTGTGTCCATTTTTTGTGCTTGGGGTCACAAACTGTTGACCAGTGGTTACGCAGTTCCTTCAGAGCTCCGATTCTTGTGCTCTGGCGCGGTATGCGAACACGCTTCTTCGCTTTTATCGTGCTGCTCCCATTGCGTAACAGCACAGCTCCGTAAAGCCCGGCTTGGGCCGTAGAGTTTCAAGAACACTTGGATCTGATCGAAACTGTGTGGTTGGCGGTTGCAGGGTTGGGCCGTCGTCTTGCGCGGCGCCCTCTTCCTGTGAAATCGCGGTTTTTGTGGCACGTCTCCACAGCGCCCGGCCATGGCCGATCCCCCACCGGCGGATGATTTGCGGCGAAAATTGGTGTCCCCGGATGCGGGTCGCGTGGAAAAGCGGTCGCGGATTGGCACGTGGTATCAAGTCGAGCTGCTGGCTCGAATGGATTTGAGATGGATACGCACCAAGGGCGGCGCAGACTTCCCCAGGAACACCAAGGCCTGGGTGGGAAAGGGGGGCCACATCGAGCTGGTGAGAGGCCGGACGGACGTGATCTACACGGAAGGAGACTGTACGTGGATTGTGCAGTTGGATGGGGAAAAGAAGGTGTTCAGGGCAGGCTCGGCTGAGTGCGCGTCTCAGTGGGTGGCCGCTCTTCGGTGGCGTGTGCGTCCATGGATTGAACTGTTGCGAGGCCGTGGCCCCGAACGCCAGGATCGGCTCGGTGCCTTGCAGGAACGCGACCAGGCAAGCTGGCCTCTGCGCATGGCCCATCTGGAAGTGGCCCAGTCTGCAGTACGAGTGATGGACACTGCAGCAAAGGTCACCGGGGATGTATTGGGTAAATTGCCTGTCGTGGGACCCGCATTTTCGGTGCTGGGCTTCGCCCTGGAGGTGGCTGGCAGAGTCAAGGCTGACGTCGACGGCCTGCGCCCGGCACAATCTGGGCTTGCACGAGTTGCACGACGAACCATGGAAACGTTGCAGGGAGGCTTGGAGCAGCAGCTGGAGTGTCGCCTTGAGGAGCTCTCTGAGCTGATGGGAGTGATCGAAGAAGGCGCCCGACAGCTTGAGAGTTTCGAGTTTCAGTCAAATATGCGGATGATGGTGCATGGAATATTCAAGGGCAAGCCAGGACCAGCAACAGTTACAGAATTGGTCTCCCATTGTGAGTCCCGGCTGGAATCCTACGAGGTCCATGACACGAATGAGGTGGCACACAATACGGACAAGAAGATGGATGACATTCCGAAGCAAGTGGCAGCAGCAGGTAATGGGCAGCTACAAGGTCACGTTAACTTCTCAGCACATGACAGCATTGGCCCATCCAATTGTCTGTTCATTGCACCAAAATTGTCAATTTTCCTTTTGACTTGTAAATGACTACCTGCAATACGTTGAAACTGTAGCTGTGGAGATCTGAACACTTTGGCTTGATTTGAATGTGCAGTATTGTGTTCTGAACAACCTGACTGCATCTCATATGACATTCTCTTTAAGAGCTATGACAGCTGCATGGATGTACAACAAGATTAGTTGCATTCTCTCATACAAGTAGAAGTGGCAACATTGTGCTGGCCAAGTAACTGACAAAAAATTACAGCTGCTGGGGCATGTCGGTACAATACTTGATGCAGAAAACATGGAATCTGGGCAGGTGTGCCTGCCAAAGTAGCCGACCAGAGAATCTCAGGATACGTAGTGGCCAAGCGAACACCGTTAATGTTGCAATGACTGCCTTCTTGCCCGCCTTCAACAATGCTTGAGTTACTGTCATTGCCGGAGTCATTGTTGGCCGCATCGCTGGTAGAGAATTCCTTCAGAGCTGGTTGTTTTTCCTCGATGGTCTGCAGATGCCAAACAACAAGCATCTTGTAGTTGCATTCAATTAAGATCGCCTGTGCCTCTGACCATCATGAAAAAGAACTGTTGTGCCAGCTGACACCCAACCTGGCAAGTATCACGCATGGTGTTTCCGGGAACGTTTGCTTAGTGGTCAACGACGAGCTGGTTTTGACATTTGATTGACGAAAGTACTGCTGTGCTGTGGTCAGTTGAGTCAGCAATGCGAAAGGAGGACAGTACAAGTGGTGCATCGTCTTACATTCCTGTGGACCCCAAGGCGATCGGGCGTGACGAACAAGCGTCTGTGATCAAGAAGCTGATTCTCAGCGACAATACCAAGTACGTTGCTCTGGTTGGCATGGGTGGAGTGGGCAAGACCACCCTAGCAGTGTGTGTGATGAATGATCCAGATATACAGAACAGATTCCAGAAAAATAAACAAACCAAGTGCCTTGGCGTGGCGTTTGTGGTAGTTTCACAGAACCCAGACCTCCTGGACTGTCAAAAGCGAATTTGGGAAGCCCTTGTGGGAGGTAAAGCGGATTTTGTCACTGTGGAGGATGGAAAGCGGCGGTTGGAAGCTGCATTGCAAGACAAATCTTTTTGTCTTATTTTGGATGACACCTGGGAGGAATCTGACGTGGTCCATCTCGATGTTGCATCTCCAAATAGCCGGGTGCTCATAACATCACGAAATGACAAGGTCGCGCATGTTGTGGGTGCCAAGTGCCATGATGTGACACCTTTGGATGAGGCAAAATCGCATCAACTGTTCTGCAAGCACGCCTTTGATGGCGGCATGCCGAAAAAATGGCAAGAGAAGCATGTACGGGATATCATCGAAAAGTGCGCAGGGCTTCCCCTCACATTGGAGATTATGGGGAAGTTGGCCAGAAGTTTTGAAGAGCGAGCACAGTGGCAAAATGCTGTGCAAATATTGACAGCAAGCTCAATGGTCAAGAAGAGCGTGTTTGACCATGTGTTTGAGCTGAGTTTCAACAGTGTGGATGCTGTCCATCGGGAAGTGCTGTTGGATTTGGCGATGTTGCCTGAAGATCACCGTGCCCGAGCTACGGACGTGGCAGAATTGGAAACATGCATCGGATCGTGTACTGATCAACAAGCAGCATGTCAGGTGCTGAGGGACTTGGAGGACAGGGCATTGATCAAAAAGGAAGGTAAAGATACTTATGGCATGCCAGAGCTGCAGCCCTCTCGCAATTGGTGTGGTAAGCTGTTTGGTTTGCGGTACTACTTGCACGATGTGGTCCGCGAAGGTGCTCTCAGGCACATTGCCAGCACTCCAGTGTTGCAACGAGAGAGGTTGGTGTCATCGCAGTTGAGAGACACCATTGGCAGGGGCACGGCATTCATGGCCAACAGATTTTCTGCCAGTCAAAAGATCAGGACGGACCAACAGAGGGTTTTGTGCGAACTGGATATGCCAAAATTGCAGGCTCTTGTGCTGCGAGATGCAGGAGTGCCAGGGCTGCCTCCTTCCATCTTAACTGCCCATTTGTTGGCAATTGACTTGACGTCCGCAGGCATCATTGAGATGCCATCACATGTGTCATGTCTTCAATCGCTGCAGCTGCTCAGAGTGGATGATTGCAGTGGGCTGACGTATCTTCCAAGTGAAATGGGTGCAATGATGGAGCTCAGGGTGCTGTCCATGAGGCGTTGCATGGGCATCTATGAACTTCCCAAGTCTATGGGAAGCCTGACCAAGCTGTCCAAGCTTCTGATGCCAGAATGTGGAATCGCCCACTTCTACCTACCTGATACGAAAAATTGGCAGAAGTTGACCATGTTGGACTTGAGCGGTTGTGTGGGTCTGAAGCAGTTGCCCCAAAACTTTGGAGATTTGACATGTTTGGCTCACCTGAACTTGGGTGGTTGCTGGCAGCTGACATGCCTGCCGAGCAGTATTGGTCAATTGTTGCACCTACGAGTGCTGATTCTGCACAACTGCCGCAGTTTGACGGCATTGCCAGACAGCACAACAAACCTTGCTGAGTTGGAGGAGCTGGATTTGCAGCAGTGCAAGCAGCTGGCAGACCTTCCTAGTGCCCTTGGCTCCTGTTGCCTAAAGTTGAGGATATTGAGACTTCAGGGGATTGATGGTATGGCATTCCCACAATTTGCAAGCAGCCTGGAGTGCCTTGAGGTTCTGGGTCTTCCAGAAGTATGTGAAGTGCCCGAGGGCTGCAAACAGCATTTTGAAGAGTTTGAAGTATCACTGGAGCAAGATGGATCTGGCGTGTTGTGCGGGGACGGTGTCATATCTGTAAGTTACAAAATTCTTGTCCAACAATTTGTCCACCGTCAGATTTACTTCAGATGATCCCTGCCATGGTATCTACCTGAGATTTACCGTCAGAAGTAGTTTGGATTTTGTGGTTGCTGAGAATGCTGTGTATGTGTTGCAGAGCACTCCTCTCCACTGGGCAGCTGAACTTGGCATGGACAAGATGGCTGCCTTTCACTTGAAAGAAGTGGATGTGGAGTTTCGGGACCGGGTGAGCCTTGGCGCGTTCCGGCAATGATGCTGGTGGCGATACTGGCACTAGGACAGCATGTGTCATGCAGATGTGCAAATGTTTGTCCACAGAATCAACATTGCACATGATACACACAACGGTATTCTTACCTGTTCACTTGCTGCCTCAACGATCTCGCTGGTATCTCAAGCCACTGAGAGCCACACAGTCGATGTTGAAACACAACAAGGGAACAACAATATACACTAGGAGTTGTGTCCAAGGTTGTGTCGGGTTGGGTCTTGCTGGAGAAGCATGGTGGCAAGGCACATGCCTTGATGCACCCAGCTAGGGTGCTGCCAACAAAATACAATAAAGGCAAAGGAAAAGAAACCGTATGTGAATGCCAGTGGCCTTACCAGGTTTGTGCCATGGCCATGCATTGCTCGTGCACCATTTTCATAACCGAGCCCTTGGATGACAACATCTTGTGTCTATGCTGACCAACTGGGCGTGGCAATGTTTGACAGCAACACCCATTTAGGCATTTGAGCATGCGGCAGGCAGATGGTGTTGCAGAAAATGGCTGTAGAGCAAACAATGGCGATGTGTCCATACAATCATTAGCTGGGCTAACGACACACATCTGTATTTCTGTGCAATGCTGTTGCCCCAGCTCTGGGAGGCTGTTCCCAATGAACCCGATTTCGCAAAGATGGCAAGTGTATTTTGAGATTGATAATTGTGTCCATGATGGCAGTTGGACTCGATGCCACAATAAATATGTGTGGCAATTTGTCAGTGGCAGATGACACTTCCAAGCCTATTTTTTGCTTCACATGCCAGCAAACAGGTGAATGTGCAGTCAAAGTGTAACCTGGCATCAAGAAAGCGCCTGGTCATTTTTTGCACAACTTCCCTACATTGCGACATTGAAAGCGTTCCTGCCAAACCCTCTCTGATGTGGAGAATGCTTTCCATGATGTGCAGCGTGGTGAGACACCCCTCTTTCGGGCTGCAGAGTATGGCCACACCAGCACCGCAGCACTGCTTTTGGAGCACGGTGCAGCAGTGGATGCCACCGACGAGGTGAGGCCTGGTCTTGTGTACTTTCACTTCACGGGCCATCGATGCGCTTGTGGATGCATGATTCGAAATCCATCCATCACATCCTTTTGCCCATTTTTGTATGTGGTGCAGTGCTTCCCTGTTTGGCAAGGGGGTCTGTTTCATGTGTTGGCCACTGCGGGGCCAGCATGCTACTGCTCCAAGTCTTCAGCCCCGCACTGACTGACACTGAAAGCTTTCCTGCCAAACCCTCTCTGGTGTGGAGAATGCTTTCCTTGATGCGCAGCGTGGTGAGACGCCCCTCTTTCGGGCTGCACGGTATGGCCACACCAGCACCGCAGCACTGCTTTTGGAGCACAGTGCAACTGTGGATGCCACCAACGAGGTGAGACCTGGTCTTGTGTACTTTCACTTCACGGGCCATCGATGCGCGTGTGGATGCATGATTCGAAATCCATCCATCACATCCTTTTGCCCATTTTTGTATGCGGCGCAGTGCTTCCCTGTTTGGCAAGGGGGTCCGTTGCATGTGTTGGCCACAGCAGGGCCAGCATTCTACTGCTCCATGTCTTCAGCCCCGCACTGACTGAAATTGAAAGCTTTCCTGCCAAACCCTCTCTGATGTGGAGAATGCTTTCCATGATGCGCAGGCTGGTGAGACGCCCCTCTTTTGGGCTGCAGGGAATGGCCACACCAGCACCGCAGCACTGCTTTTGGAGCACGGTGCAGCAGTGGATGCCACCAACCAGGTGAGGCCTGGTCTTGTGTACTTTCACTTCACCAGCCATCGATGCGCGTGTGGATGCGTAATTCGAAATCCATCCATCACATCCTTTTGCCCATTTGGGTATGCGGCGCAGTGCTTCCCTGTTTGGCAAGGGGGTCTGTTGCATGCGTTGGCCACTGCGGGGCCAGCATGCTACTGCTCCAAGTCTTCAGCCCCGCACTGACTGAAATTGAAAGCTTTCCTGCCAAACCCTCTCTGATGTGGAGAATGCTTTCCATGATGCGCAGGCTGGTGCGACGCCCCTCTTTTGGGCTGCAGGGAATGGCCACAGCAGCACCGCGGCACTGCTTTTGGAGCACGGTGCAGCAGTGGATGCCACCAACGAGGTGAGACCTGGTCTTGTGTACTTTCACTTCACGGGCCATCGATGCGCGTGTGGATGCATGATTCGAAATCCATCCATCACATCCTTTTGCCCATTTTTGTATGCCGTGCAGTGCTTCCCTGTTTGGCAGGGGGGTCTGTTGCATGTGTTGGCCACTGCGGGGCCAGCAGTCTACTGCTCCATGTCTTCAGCCTAACACTGACTGACATTGAAAGCTTTCCTGCCAAACCCTCTCTGATGTGGAGAATGCTTTCCATGATGCGCAGGCTGGTGCGACGCCCCTCTTTTGGGCTGCACAGTATGGCCACACCAGCACCGCAGCACTGCTTTTGGAGCACGGTGCAGCAGTGGATGCCACCAACCAGGTGAGGCCTGGTCTTGTGTACTTTCACTTCACAGGCCATCGATGCGCTTGTGGATGCATGATTCGAAATCCATCCATCACATCCTTTTGCCCATTTGGGTATGCGGCGCAGTGCTTCCCTGTTTGGCAAGGGGGTCTTTTGCTTGTGTTGGCCACTGCGGGGACAGCATGCTACTGCTCAAAGTCTTCAGCCCTGCACTGACTGACATTGAAAGCTTTCCTGCCAAACCCTCTCTGATGTGGAGAATGCTTTCCATGATGTGCAGCGTGGTGAGACGCCCCTCTTTGGGGCTGCAGAGTATGGCCACACCAGCACCGCAGCACTGCTTTTGGAGCACGGTGCAACAGTGGATGCCATCGACAAGGTGAGGCCTGGTCTTGTGTACTTTCACTTCACCAGCCATCGATGCGCATGTGGATGCATAATTCGAAATCCATCAATCACATCCTTTTGCCCATTTGGTTTTGCGGCGCAGTGTTTCCCTGTTTGGCAAGGGGGTCTGTTGCATGCGTTGGCCACTGTGGGGCCAGCATGCTACTGCTCCAAGTCTTCAGCCCCGCACTGACTGAAATTGAAAGCTTTCCTGCCAAACCCTCTCTGGTGTGGAGAATGCTTTCCTTGATGCACAGGCTGCTGGGATGCCCCTCTTTTGGGCTGCAATGATTGGCCACACCAGCACTACAGCACTGCTTTTGGAGCACGGTGCAGCAGTGGATGCCACCTACGAGGTGAGAACTGGTCTTGTGTACTTTCACTTCACGGGCCATCGATGCGCTTGTGGATGCATGATTCGAAATCCATTCATCACATCCTTTGCCCATTTGGGTATGCGGCGCAGTGCTTCCCTGTTTGGCAAGGGGGTCTGTTTCATGTGTTGGCCACTGCGGGGCCAGCATGCTACTGCTCCAAGTCTTCAGCCCCGCACTGACTGACACTGAAAGCTTTCCTGCCAAACCCTCTCTGGTCTGGAGAATGCTTTCCTTGATGCGCAGCGTGGTGAGACGCCCCTCTTTCGGGCTGCACGGTATGGCCACACCAGCACCGCAGCACTGCTTTTGGAGCACAGTGCAACTGTGGATGCCACCAACGAGGTGAGACCTGGTCTTGCGCACTTTCACTTCACAGGCCATTTGTGTTTACATTTGTACATTTGTGCATGCCATCGATTTCCCAGGTGGATCTGTTGTCCAAGCTCCGTCCATCATCAGGTGGATCCTATACGAAGTATTGCCTGATACAGACCAGTCTCTCCAGCATGGCTGGATGCCCTTTTGTGTGCACCGGTAGGGACAGCAATACAAAGTTGTGGCAAGTTGACTGGGCAGATCCTGTGTTATGCGGGGGGGCCCTCAGTCTAGAGCCTGGAGCCTGGCAATGCGTGTTCCCCACTTTTTCCATGTGTTTCCATGTGTTTTCTCATGGGTGTTCAGGGCACTCTTTTGCCAGACATGGTTATGCTGATTGGGTTGAGTCTTTGCGTGAAGTAAATGGTGTGCGTTGTTTTCTTCGTTGCATTGACCTGTATTTGTGTGTACAGGAAGGAAAAACCCCAATGCTAGCTGCACTCACGTACAGAGATTTTCGTTTTGGAGATCCCCGTGATGAGGGTACTATTTTGAAGATTGTGCAGTTGCTGGCAGACGAAGGGGCTTCTTTGGATGCAGCTGACCAGGCAAGAAAAGCACCCACTGTTCATGCAAAGTAGTTTTGCTTGTGTTTGCAACTTCCATCCAATGTGACCGCAATGAACGTAGTTTCTCAGCATGGTATGACATTGTATTGATGCGCAGGGAGGGAAGACCCCCCTCATGGAGGCTGCAGCGATTGGCTACAGAAGAGCTGCTGAACTGCTGCTCAACAAAGGTGCATCGTCAGAGCTGGCTGACAAGGTAACATCATGCTATTTGAATGCAACCGGTTGGCGACTCCGTTGCTACACTCCAGTTCCCATAAATCTCGAATGAGTCCAGTCGGGGAACGTGTCTATGTTTCGACTTTCAAGGCGATGGCACCGAAACTGGTCTTGATGGCACAAACGCAGCAAGGGTTCCATACACCGGCAGGAGTTATGACTCCATGTAAGAAAGTACACTGTCAGCTTGTTTAGTGTTTACCAGTAACATGCGTTTGGGCTTCCCCGTGCTGTTTTGCAGTGCATCCATCACGGGCACTTTAGACATCTTGAAAGACCTAGGCGCAGGATTCCAGGAACTAGATCGCAAGGGTGCCCACCCAAACATTTGTGTGTGCGCACCGCTACAGGCTGGCAATGGTGAATGGGTTGAAATGGTCGTGTGGGTCATTGCAAGCATCCGCAGTTGGCCCCTTGAAACAGCGAAGTGTGTGTCTCCAGTGTGTGTTCGCTCCCAAGTGTTGAGGCGCGTGCCCTGCTTGGGCCACTGCTGAGGCTTGTGTGCCGGTTTTAGGAGGGACGAACCGCTGCATCCCTTGCGAGGTCCAAGGGGCATGACGAATTGGCTGAGATGTTGGAAGC